AAGAACTGAAGAAGAGTAAGACATTGTAAATGCTCCAACTGGAAGTTTTAAAGAAGAGATTGGACAACCACTTATCTGAAGCGGTGGAGGGTTTCCTGCCTAAGCAGGCAGTTGGACTAGAAGACCTCCAAGGTCCCTTCCAACTCTCTTATTCAATTCTATTCTAAATAGTATTTTATGATTTAGCTAAAAACGTTGTTATTATCCCTGCTCCTGGCTGTACTCTGCATTATCCCCAGAATGCTGCTAATCCGGAGGTGACTTTGGTCTTCGTAACTGTAATCAATTAGGATTTCCTTGTAATACCACCCCTGAACATATGGTTGCTAGTTTCAAGACAAATAGATGTTGACAGACTGAAACCCTTGGCGTTATTTCATTGGTCTTCTGCTAGTGATAGAAAGACATAGAAAGGAGGAATCACCGCAATTCTGGCTGGACGACCCTAGGTGGGTGCAGGGATGCAATCTGCCCTTAGGGAGATGGGGCAGCATGAGAAACCTTTTGTCTGGGGGTGGGAGAGAGAGAGAGAGAGAGAGAGAGAGAGAGAGAGAGAGAGAGAGAATTAAGTAATTAAGTCATCCCTTCCTCCTCTGCTGGTCACATGGACCCTATTAATCATGAAATGCTTGCCCTAAGTCCAGGAGGAGCCCAACGGAAAGCAGCCCCACTTCCTGGGGCTGCTGAACTGAGTCGGTGGGCACCACTGGGAATTGGTGAAGGTAAAGCAAAATCCCATTGCCTTTGGTTACAGTAGAAAGTGTGTGGAAGGAAGGGCAATTGTGTTATAGGCAACATTATTTGCACTTGGGAATTTCATAAATAGTTGCCTCTGATTCCCCTCGGTCTTCTTAGCAATACTTCTTTAGGTATCTGGAGTAAATCACAGAGATTGACTTGGAAGCACTTTGAAAACTGTGCAGTAATTATGAGCAGTCAGCATAGATTGGTCAAGAGCAGGCTAAAAACAGAATAAGGTTCGTTGAACTAACCTTATTTCATTTTTCTGACTAACTTTCTTAATAGGATATGGGAATAGTGTAGATGTTATCTCCAACTTAGCCAAGCATCTGACAAAGGATCCCAGGATAGTTAAGGGTGGGCTGCATGGGTTGGCAGCTAAGTGGATACACAACTGGCTTAAACAGCCTATTCAGCAGCTGCTCTCGACCAGCTGCCCAGTGGGCCGAAGTCAACTGAGATATTGTAATACTTAGTCCTTGGCCCTTTCAGCCAGTTTATGGTTAAAAGGAAGGATGATCAGGTAATCCCCACTCAACCTGATCCATGCATGCACCTTTGTGAAGGAATTCAATTTCCTCTATGGGGAATCCTGGGTGTCTTTGTAGACAGTGGTGGGATTCAAAGCTTTTTACTACCAGTTCTGTAGGCATGGCTTGGTGGGTGTGGTGTGGCTTGGTGGGCATGGCAGAGGAAGGATACTGCAAAATCCCATTCCCTCCCCACCCCACTCGCCTGCTTTCCAGCTCCATTCTCCTGTGCAGAGCAACAAAAGAAGACCCAGCCAATCAGCTGGGACTCAAGAGGCAGAGAATAGATGGGGCGAGGCCAGTCAGAGATGGGATTTGCCAGTTTTCCAAACTACTCAAAATTTCTGCTACTGGTTCTCCAGAACTGGTCAGAACCTGCTGAATATACCACCTCTGTTTGTAGATCCTCTTGTGAAGAAGAAATTCCTGACCAAGACCAGGGCTTCTATTCGTCGCTTCTTTGGTCTGGCCAAGATTCTACTGGGTTGCTCTATTGCGTGCAGCCATACATCTTTCCTGGTGATTAAAGAACCATATTCATTTTTTAATTTTACTTTTTAAAAAATAATTATCAATATACATTTGTGTGTGTGTGTGTGTGTATCTGTTTTAATAGTATTTTATTTATGGCCATAATATTGATTGATTGAGGAGTGCTGATTTTTAAATACATATTTTCTATGGTTATTCTTAACCATTTTTGAATAAGTTTAAAATTTATTTCTAAAATAAAAAAATAGGTTGAATAATTGATCTCTTTTTCAAAACAGGAAGTGAAGGTTCAGGAAAGAAAAGGTATAGAACTATAGCTGGTCAGAAATGTAGACACAATCAATAGTTTTCAACCAAAGAAAACAAACAAAAACAGCCAGGTAAAGGTTCCCCTCGCCCATACACGTTAGTCATTTCCAGCTCTAGGGGGCGGTGCTCATCTCCGTTACAAAGCCGAAGAGCCAGCGCTGTCTGAAGACGTCTCTGTGGTAATGTGGCCGGCATGACTAAACACCGAAGGTACACGGAACGCTGTTCCCTTCCCACCAAAGTGATCCCTATTTTTATCTGCATTTTTACATGCTTTTGAATTGCTGGGTTGGCAGAAGCTGGGACAAGTAACAGGAGCTCACTCTGTTATGCGGTGCTAGGGATACGAACCACCAAACTGCTGACCTTTCTGATCAATAAGCTCAGTGTCTTAGCTACTGAGCCACCGTGTCCCTCTAAAAACAGCCAAGAGAAGCGGAAAACTCACATTTCATATTAATGTAATTTTAACGTAGAGTTTTGGAGTCTTCTCAGTGATGTGGATTCAAAGTTTTTTACTACCGGTTCTGTGGGCGTGGCTTGGTGGGCGTGGCAGGGAAAGGAGACTGTAAAATCTCCAGTCAGAGGTGGGATTTGCCAGTTCTCAGAACTATTCAAAATTTCCGTTACCGGTTCTCCAGAACTGGTTAGAACCTGCTGAAGACCGACCGGACAAGATATACGGAGGGAATATTACCCTTACATCCCAAAAGCGATGCCGGAGACTTCTCTTGAGCCGGAGCAGCTAGAAAATTATAGCCTGGCCTCCAACCTCCCGTTTGAGGCTGAAGTGGTGGAAAAGGCAGGGGCCTCTCAATTCCCCATTTCTGCTCAATCCCGGCACATTGACTATTGACTGTTTGGACCCATTTTAATAGGGCTCCTGTATTGGCTAATAAGGATTGCAAGGTTTATATTATGTATCAATATAACATGACATTTTTAAGTTTTGAACTTCTTTTTATTATTTTATATTTTCTTGACTGTAAGAAGCCCAAAGCATCACGGGGTGGAAAGGCAGGGTATCAACTGAAATTGAAATTAGTAAGTAAAATAAGAACGTGAGTCTCCCCAGCCCTCCTATTTCCATCTATGGACACATTCAATCCCTTTCAGTGAGCATGTAAAAAGGGAAAGTAAATGGGCCCAAAGGCTCCTTGGTGCTCTCTGAGTTTGGCTTGTTTACCCGTTTCAATCCTGAGCTACAGATATTCTCCTTTACTGGTAAATGGGCCTCTGAAGGCAGTTTAACTGATGAGCTACAGATTTATCTATGGAAAGGCTCAGAATATTCAGAAGGTCAAGGCTTTGTGGAGAATAGAGATAAAGGATTCCATCCCTCCGCAAAAGTCATGTAGTTCTGTATGTGATCACTCAAGTAGGTCTCATCAAGAGACAAAAATAGAAGCCAGATGGATAAGAGAACTGGAAAGGAGATACTGGCTGCTTAGTCAAAGAAAAGCACCAGGAAGAAAGAGCTGAGATGGAGATTCCTTCTAGGATTACCTGACCTGCAAAAATCCAGGTGATCACAAGATAGCAGCAAAGAAATGCCGAATGCAAATATCTTGCCTGTCTCATAGTGATTGCTGGGGGTTTTGCAGCCCATTACGGTGGTGTGTCTTCTAGCAGCCTGTTTGGGCCAACATAGATTGGTAACAGTTTGGGCTTTCAAATACCTGTTCTTTAAATCCCAGCCTCTAAGCTTTCTATGGGATGGCTGGGCTGGTGTGTGGTTGGGGAGGGATTCCCTGGATGGAATCTCTGCCTTCTGGACTCACCTCGGCAGAGCAGAGGAATTTGATGGCCAAGGAGATCTTATACTTTTTTCAGATGGGACTTTAGATGATTAGTAAAGTCCTTATTTTTCCAACAAAGTTTATAGGACTTCTCTTTTATATCTGGAGACCACAAAAACTTTTCTGTGGAGAGAATCACTCAGTTAACAGGCACATTCAGGGCTGGTCCTTTAATGTTTGCTTTAGAACTGCCCATGTTTGAGGTAAAATGTGACAAGTTAAATTCATAAAGCTTCCTTTTATTTTGCTTATTTCTCTCCTTGTGATAATGGAATAGTCCCTTCTCTGGAATGTCATTTAGTGCTATTTCATTGCTCCATATTTATTCATTTCTTTATTGAGCTAGCTACTCCTATCCTCTGTACCTTTTTGACCCAACCAGAACGCATAGTTGAACATTATGACCAGTGATGTATTAACCGTTGAGCATGTTATTAGGGCACCAGGCCCAAAGGGGGCACCACAAAAACTTTTATGTAGCCTAAGCTTGCTTCGTTTGTACAGAATGTGCAAAGGAGGAGGGGGGGGGGCACCAAGATTTGTCAGTACTTAGGGTACAAGTGAGCCTTAATCCACCACTGATTATGACATTTTAGAGTGCTGAATCCCACAATTTAGACAAGGATTACTCCATGAAACAACAACTTGTTTGCAGTCCTGTCCTAACTTCCTTCCTTTCTACCTACTTTGAGTGTCCTCTCTATGGCAGGTGGGTGAGGGTGGGAATGTCACAGGTGTCAGTCCCACCAAATCTATGGTGAGTTTTAGAATAGAGGCAACATATCAGACTCCCTTTGGGATAAAGGAAGCTCCCAGAGTGCATTTCATGTACCAGACTTGTTCAATTATTATACTTCAGTAATCTTTATAGTAGTCAGATTTCAATATCATTTCTAAAATATTTTTTCACTGCTTGGAAAATAATTACACTGCTAGAAAAGTATTTCATAATACCTTCATTCTACATAATTTTTATATGATGGAAATGTGGAAAAAACACTTCCTGTCTTTGGGGGTTGGAAAAAAAAGTACAGTTCTGTAAGCATATGTGATATTGGCACAAGAGTCACAAGAACTCCTGCAACTAGACCTACTGTGATCAGTGGTTCGTCTTCTGGAAATTGCTCCTGCAGTCAATAAGTCCCCACAAATATTTATAGTACAGTTGATGGGCACAGACAGAGGGCTTTTTAATGATACCTTCCTAAAAATATACAGTAAGGGTATAAAAGAAATATTGTAGGGGGAAAAAGACCTATGTGAGGGAGATTCAGTCTACAAATTAGTGATTCCATTCTTAGTCATTGGTTTACAACAAGTACCGTTCTATGAGAAATTCAAAAGAGAAAGGGCTGCACTCACAAGTTCATGTTTAAATTATGAACAAGAGGCCCTCCTCTCATACTACCGGCAGCCACATTCTGCGACTTTCATCCCTTCGTATTCATATTTCAGGGTGGGGGTTCCAGCCTCATCTTTATAAAGCATGGAGATGGCTTCCAGCTTCGTGGGAACACAACAGGCCTTGACAGCTTTCTTGGGGTTTTTGTAATGGACCAGGGTCTGGACGATCGCATGCTTGGTTGGGGTGACATTGTCAGTCAGAGGATAGAAGCAGCCCCCTTTGCACTGAAACGCCTCATAATCTGGAGGAGCAATGATCCAGTTCCAGCCAATTTCTTTAAAATTCACATGGAGGGTTGTTTTCCGGCAATGGTTGAGCTCAATACTTCGCTTGCTTCTGGACAGGGAGTGATGGGTCCTGTGGACAGACCAAGAATTCCGCCTGTGGGCAGCATGGTCCTTTGCTAAACTCTTCAGCAAATCCTCCTGTTCATGAGCCACCATTTCCTGAAGCTCTGCGTGGTTTGCTTTGACTCTTTTGCTGTGGTCATTAGAAAACAATATCAGGGAAGGTAGATGGTTTGAGTCAGGAGCCACGCTGATGTTCAGATGCTCACAGTTGAAACCACTTGAATCGTAGCTCTTCACGGCGGTCTCCAACCGGTTGACAGTCCTGGTCTTTTCTGCCTTGACCCATTTTTTCACAGTGCTGGACACATCAAAGGTCACCCAGCCACATCCCTGGATTTCTCTGGAGGCAAGGAAGTTCTGTACACCCTCTGCTTCCCCCCAGTTATCTCCTTCATGCACATCATAGATTACTACGTTTCCATGAACAGGAGGAAAACACTCTTTATGACATGCAATGTGGATCCTCAGCTCAGCTTTAGTTACTTCTTCATGCCATGGGATGGAAACGTTGAAGAGCAAGATATATTTCTGATTTATTTCCAGTGAAGACAGAGAAGAAATATCTGATGGAGAAAATGATAAACACTGTGATGATTGACTCTCTCTAGCAAGAAAGGAATTTGAACCTGAATATTAGTACATCCAATGCTGAACATTCAACACTTCATTACCAGTATTACTAAAATGCTAACATGAAACAAAGTAAAGGAATTAAATTATTCCTGTATAAGTAAAATGTAGTATTAGAAATATGGGGAAATGGACATATCTTCCAGCATATTATAAACTGCCTGGAATCATTGATTGAGATGGGTGACTATAGAAATTGAATAAATAAATAAAATAAAATATTATTGATGAAAAAGAAATCTATATGTAAAAAACAAAACGAAACCCAATGACATAGCGGTCAAGGTGTTGGACTAGCAACTGGGAGTGAGTGTTTAGGTATAGAAGTTGGTTTGGTGATTTGGGCTTAGCCTTCCCTCTTAGGCCCAACTCACCTCACAGAGTGGCTGTTGTAGGGAAATAAGGGGAGGAAGTACCAAGGGAGGCTGCCCGCCCTCTTGTTTACAAATATAACATCTAGAAATTGCAGGGAAAGGAGTTTTGCACAATGAAAAATCAGATGTCCTCAGAAAATGACAATGTTTTCCAAATAAATAAAAATAAGTAAGCAAAGTAAGTAGCTATATTGTTCTAATCACAAGAACTTTGCGGAGCGAGCTGAGCTGAGTGACTTTCTGCCTGCCAGAAAGTCACTGAATGGGCTACCATGACTGAGGGGGCCTCAGACCAGGCTTTCCTTGGTTCTAACCCAACACTAAGCATTCCACTGCACGGGCTCTGTCTAAAAAGAGAGGGGAACTTCAAAGAATGGATAATTTGCATGGTTTTGGTTGAACAATTAGTATCCATTGGGAAAGTTATCAGCCTAAAATTCTGCTGAGTCAAAAGGCCAAGATTAAATTGGGTTGACTTTGATTTAAAAAAAAAAAAACTCTCTTGAAGGCTTCCTAGAGACTTTAGCACTTTATATGGGCTCCAAATCTATGTTTATCAAAAGAGATTGGAGGCATTAGCGGGTTTCTTTGCCTATATGTGTGAATGTTGGGTTTAGTACTTTTGCTGATGATGTGTTCAATATTTTATCTGTGACTTTGAGTTGGTGGGATACAGAGAGGAGGCCTTATCTAAGGGGGAATGGGAGATTTGCCCATCTTTTCTCCTTCCATATAATCTTACTTGTGTGTTTATTACATTTTTAAACCATCTGTAACACTTGGATGGCTCTGTGTTAATCGATCAGTTCATTAAATGCCTTTCAGAAGAAGAGTTCCATGTTGATCCACCTTTGGTGATGAGCAGGGTTGGGACTTCTTTCACGAAGCCAAGCAAATTAGTAAACAAGCACACAATTAATGGCAGTTTCTTGTATGTTGGGGAGACAGGCTGTTAAGCCCTGCTTGTATTTGTCCTCAGTTTTTAGGTCAATTGACCTGTTTCTGAATCTCCTCCGAAAAAGCCATTGTAACCAAATAGTCCCGCCCTAACATTTGTTCTAGCTTTTTCTTTTTCTTTTTTAATTTAGTACTTAAAGACCTCTTCCTCCTGGAGCAGAGCTGAAAACTTTTTACTCCACCTGGCAATACTGTAAATGACGCACCTGATAGCCAAGACAGTTCAGCCAGATTAATTAGAAAACCACCGAAGCATCATCGGGCCATTATCAAAGCCAGACAGTTTTGGCTCAGGAGAACACACAGGTCAGGAGGAAGTGAAATCGCATTGGCTTTCTTTTGGTTTCACGACCCACCCACCCTACCCCTGCAAATGTTCATGTCTCCAGAGGTTTCTAGAACACCCAGAGATTATTCACGGCTGCACTGCATGCTTTAGCTCAGTTGTTCTCCACCTGTGGGTCATGACTCCTTGGGGGGGTAGAATGACCTTTTCACAGGGGGGGTCACCTAAGACCATTGGAAAGCCATAATTTTATGGTGGGGGTCACCACAACATGAGGAACTGTATTAAAGGGTCGCAGCATTGGGAAGGTTGAGAACCACTGCTTTAGCAGAACTGCCAACCTGCACTTTAAAGAAATTATATAGAAGTACTAACATTCATCTGAGAAACTTATGTAAATTACATTGATAACTTATTGGTGCTTTCAATCTTCTTTTTTAAAGCTTCCATTTTTATATCTTACATTATAAAAGAAAACAAGTGGAAAATATTTTTTAAAAAAGCCATATGTGAGTGGACTTTAGGATCCCAACTGCCACCTCAAAACACTGTAGCTTACCCGTTGAAAACTACTCATACCTTCAGGTCTGAAGCTGCGCACAATGTTGGCAATGGGACTGGAGGACTTGTCCTGGGTGTATCGGTTGTATAAATCAATCATGAATTGGGGTGGTTCCTCTTTGATCTTTTCTTGTGAAGGTATCGCCGATAAGTTCAAGTTCCTTAAAAAATCCACTTTCAGGTTCTCCAGAAAAGCCTTAAAGTTGAAATAGGCCTCTCCCTCCCTATTTCCAAGTTCACCCGGAGATTTGTAAGAATTGTCCTTGGTGGGTAAACTGTGCTCGTTTCCCAGGGGGGTTCCGCTTTGTACGACAATGAGGATGGCATACAGAAGAGTCCAGGCACCAAAATATAACATGTTGTTAAATTTCCAAGGCTGGGGAACAACGAATGATCCAGAACAGCAAAGTTTTGTCTGATGAAGTCTGAAGAACATGCTGTGAATTTAATAAAAGGGCCTGACACTTTCTGAAGCTGTGTTTCTGCTGTGTGTGTGCATGTTCTTTCCCAGCCCCTTGTGGATCTTCAGATTGGTTGTCCACTTGCCCTTATCTCAACCATTGATGTTCCAGTCCAGCCTCTTATCTATTGAGGCTCTTCACTAATGAAGATTCTATAAACATCAGGCAAACCCAGATGGCTTGTGGCATCCAGGAAAGAATCTGCTTGCTTTGGGGTCATCATTGCCTAATTATGTTCCTTTATCGTTTCCTTGCCAGCAACAATACATATTTTAAGATTCTTGGGGAAGGCATATGGCAGACTGTTTTCTTGGTTCCCACACCAGGCAAAATCAAAATGAGAACGGACAAGAAAAACTCATTTTGATTAGCCTTCATGTACACGTCACCCAGGTTGAGGAGTTCTGTTTTTTCTATTACAAGGCGCAACAATCCCGTCATTATGTAAATATTTGAAACTTCCCCCATTATCTTTCCATTGCAATTGCTTTTACACAGAAGGTTCTATGCGATCTTTTCAGTTTTCCCTCACTAATCAGCACTGTGTGTGCATACGCCAAGGCAGTTAACACAATGACAGTCTTCCATACACACACACACACACACACACCGACAATCTGAGCTGAAATACTGATGAACTTTCAAATATCTCCTCCTTCTCCCATTCTGCACTGTGGCGTAGGGCTCCTTTTTCATGAGCACAGGCAACATGGCATGCGTTTCCTTGGCGTGGGGCCCTGGGACACGCAAGTGCTTTGAGGAAGGAAGGAAGGACGCCGTTCTTGTGGCTTCTCCAAAACAAAAACTTCTTCTGGGCCAGTTATGTCTGGGAAACCTTTGTGCTCAAGACTGCTTGAGTCTTTTCTGAGGCTGGTCTTCCACATGTGATGGATGTTTCAGTTTCTGACAAACCATGGGAAACCTGTATGTTAAAAAGAAAGAAAATCATTTTGGGCAGAACCAGGACGAAGGCAAAGTCCGCTGCCCTTTGTACTGCTATCACACTGCAGTTGCCCCCCCATCCCCACCCCCAGACAGGAGGATGTAACTGGACCAAGCCAAAGTTGATTTGTGGGGAGGGGGCCTGTGTTGGCCCTTCTTTGGCTCAGCTCCCATGTTCCTCTGCTCCCCTGGGCTTGGACCCTCCCCAAGCAGCTGAGGGGAGAACCCCCAGTGGCCCTCGATATCCACACAGGGGTGGGTGGGTTCCAGAGGAACTGTCAGTGCTTAACAAAACCCAAAAGAAATGACCGGAGACAGGAATCTGATTGATTGGGATGGTCTTCTAGGTAGGTGAGAAATATTGATTTTTATTTCACAGGGGTGATACGGTCCATTAGACACAGGAGGACAATCCGTGCCTGCAGCTGTTGCTCCTTCCTTTGATTTATTCTCTGGGTTGGACAGAAACATCCACCAGATCCAAAAGTGTAATTTACAAAACTGTAAATTATAGTTATTTTGGTTTTAACAAACAGCAACACATTGCTATTTTTCATAATTCAAGTTGATATAAGCTTACCACCTTAATTTAAAAACAGCACACATTGCTATACTTTCCATTTTGTAAAACAATACACTAGGACTGAGAAGGGTGCCATAAAAGTTTGATAATAAACAAAAATAGACAATTTATTATAAAAATTGCGTTAAATGCAATTAACAGGGTGCCATTTTTTATCAAAGGTCCTCACTCGTTTGACCTTTGAACATCCCTAGAAGAGCAACTTGTTCTTGGACGTTTGCAAATTCTTGTGCGATGGGCTCCCTTAGACTGCCTGTTGGCCTCTGGCCTGATTTTTGATAGACCCTCTGAATTTGAAGAAGAGAAAGCCAAACTTTCCTTCTGCCTAATGCATGTATTCATGGGCTCCAGACGCCTCATCCCACCGGTCTGAAGGAGAGGGATGAATTGGTTTTGCTGACGGCCCAAAGATTCTTCCCTGACCTGCTTCGGGCAGCCAGTGGGAAAGAACAGAAGGACAATGGTGAAAGGACATGAGGCTCCCAGTCTATTAGCCTCTGATGACAGTCAGAGCTGATTTGTCAAAGCAGCTCAAGCAGGACAGCCCTGGTGCCTATCACGCTCCTATATTAATCAGGGAAAGTTAATCTGTGAGAACATTAATGAATACAAATTGCTCCCAAAGGCCGATGAGGCATTAGATTCACTCTCTGAAATCTTGGTTCGTATTATCTCCCAAACAGAGATTCCTGTCAGGATGGTCAGAGATGATGAAGACAAATGATCAGCTTTGGAGGAACATGCTTCCCTCCATTAGCATCTGAGCGCCCTTAATGTGGAGGATGGTTTCACCACTGACCCAGCTTCAGAAAATGGGCGCAGCTGCTTGCAACAAAATATTTAAATTATCTCATTATAAGGGATATTTTTGCAGAAACCAGCCCTGTGTGAATATATATGATGTACCCACAAATATTGCATCCTTTATGAGACCTGAGGACAGCTAATTGTGAGGGGGGGTCAGCCCCCCTTTATATCTTCCAATACAAGGAATTTGTCCCCTAAGATACAGGCAGCCCTGCCTTGAGAAATGGAGGGGGCTTCTTCCCTGTTCAGGAAGGAAGAGAAGGACACAACTGTGCAGCCCTCCAAAGAGCGAAGGATCTCCAAAACACACGCCTCCCTTCCACGGAGGCTGTGGAGATCCAGAAGGAGGTGAGGTTACAGGCAGTCCTCAACTTATAGCAGGTGTTTGAGTGACTGCTTGAAGTTACAAGGGCAGTCGAAAAAGTGACCTACGGCCATTTTTCACACTTAAGACTGTTGCAGCAGCATATCTCTATCCCCCACCGCCCCCGTGGCCATGTGATTTGAATTCAGGGTCTTGGCAGCTGACTCCTATCTATGAGTGTCTCGGAGTGTCTTGGGGGCCACAGGATCCCCTTCTGTGAACTTCCTGTGACAAGCAAAGTCAATGGGGGAAGCCAGATCCACTGAACAACCATGCTACTAACTGAATTGCAGTGATTCACTTAACAAGAAAGGTTGTAAAATGGAGCAAAATTCACTTAACAAATGTCTCAATTAACAACAGACATTTTGGGCTCAGTTGTGGTCATAAGTTGAGGATTACTGTATAAACATAAGCTATAATAGCCACATTGGTTAAAATATCCAACCCAGACTCCAAGTGGGGCATTTCCTCCCTCACCCGTGGACGGTACCATTTAAGCCCCGCCCCTTCCTTTGAGCTGGCGGGGAGGCCTTACCGCTTACTCTTCTTCCTTTAACGGGGCTCAAGCAGCGCCTTGTTCGACCAGAGAGCAACAAAGTGGAGGAACTGCACCGTGTGTGGGAAGCTTGAATGGTTGGAGGCTCTCAATTCCCTTTGCTCTTTCCAGAGTCACCTCAGTTTGACTGCTCCTCCCTCAGCCGGTCTCATGGCTACAGAAGATGATTAATGTCTCCAGAGGCAATTAAAACATGCAATTACGTTACAATTGAGGCTGTTGCCTGTCTCCTGTCTCCCTGTGGTGGAAATGATGTTTCTCATTGTGTGCAATTACAACCAGAAGATACTTCCTATGACGTCAGGTAACAGATAACAGATAACAAATAATCAGAGTTGGAAGGGACCTTATAGGTCATCTAGTCCAACCCCCTGCCCAAGCAGGAGACTACACCATTTCGGGCAGATGGCAGTCTAATGTCTTCTTGAAGGTCTCAAGTGAAGGTGCTCCCACAACTTCCGAGGGCAAGGTTTTCCATTGGTTGATTGTTCTCACTGTCTGAAAGTTTCTCCTTATTTCCTGGTTGAATCTCTCCTTGTTCAGTTTCCATCCATTATTCCTTGACCAGCCTTCAGGTGCCTTGGAAAATAGCTTGACCCCTTCCTCCTCTCTGGGCAGCCCCTCAAATATTGGAAGACTGCTCTCATGTCTCCCCTGGTCCTTCTCTTCCCTAGACTAGCCAGGCCCAGTTCCTGTAACCGTTCTTCGTATGTTTTAGTCTCCAGTTGTTTCTTCTCTGTGCTTTTTCTAGAGTCTCAATATCTTTTTTAATAATGTGGTAACCAAAACTGGATGCAGTACTCTAGGTGTGGCCTTACTAAGGCTTTATAGAGTGGCATTAGTACCTCACTTGATCTTGATTGTATCCCTTTGCTAATGCAATTTAGGATTGCATTAGCTTTTTTGGCTGCTGCTACACACTGCTAGCTCCTATTTAGCCGGTTGTCCACTAAGACTCCAAGATCCCTCTCCCAGTGACTGCTATTGAGCCTGGTTTCACCTAGTCTGTATATGTCCTTTTGGTTTTTCTTGCCTAAGTGTAGGACTTTACTTTTCTCTACACTGAATTTCATTTTGTTAGATACGGTCCAGTGTTCTAGTCTGTCAAGATCCACCTGGATCTTGAGCCTGTCTTCTTGGGTGTTAGCTATTCCTGCCAGCTTAGTAGCATCTGCAAATTTGGCAAGTTCCCCTTCTATCCCCCCATCTAAGTCGTTAATGAAGATATTGAAGAGTCCTGGGCCTAAGACGGAACCTTGTGGCACCCCACTGCTTCGTTCCCTCCATGGAGACTTAGACCATGGAAAAGCCCTTCGTGTTTCTGGAAGACCACTGCAATTATACACTAGCCTTACACCTTCTATTTAGTCAGTTACATCTGAATAACTGATTGGCTGAATCTATTTCAATCAGCTATTTACTTGATTTTTGGACTGCTTTAATCATTAGGGTGGGTGATTTATTCCAGGTGGAGAGTCTGATCCTGTTCAACCACTGAGATTCTTATTGCTTTCAGCATCATGGACCTCGGTATCTTTCGGGCCCTCTTGGCTGTGATGGGCCAGGAGTCATAGCTGTTTAGTGGTTCTAGTTCTTCTCCGTTGAAGAAGATGGTGCTGAAATACTTCAAAGAATGTAGGTG